CATGGAATTTGAAGCCGCTGAGGGCTAAATATTTTACTGCCGCTGAGGGCAGAAGTTTAATGCATGGAATTTGAAGCCGCTGAGGGCTAAACATTTTACTGCCGCTGAGGGCAGACGTTTAATGCATGGAATTTGAAGCCGCGGAGGGCTAAACATTTTACTGCCGCATTTCCTGTCGCTGAAGACAGAGGTTAATGATTGGAATTTTAAGCCGCTGAGGGCTATAGATACAATTTATTGGCGCTGAGGGTAGATTTGTTTTATAACAAATGCATAAAATTTTAAGCCACCGAGGGCTTTACAATTTTTTTTTCTGTCGCTTAAAAGATATTGGTGAATGAATTAAGAACCGTTTATGACAAAATTATAGCAGAGGTATAAAATGCAGAAAGTTAATAGCCACTTGGGCGTGTAAGACACATGAAAGTTTAGAAAGCCGCTAAATGATGATGTTAATCAAATTTAGAGATTGTCTATAAGCTAATTAATGATATATCAGGATGTACTAGTTTATGAAGTTAAGCTGCTAAGAACTATTTAAACTAAATAAAAAATTTTACTGCCACGAAACGAATGGAAAATATAAAGCCAATGAAGGGCCCGGGCTGTCTACGACTATTGAATAAAATCTCAATATACGAAAGTTGTTAAGAGCAGATTTCAATATATTGTTTAGATAAATTATGGCTATTTAAGTAATGATGCGAGAGGCCAAGTCATGGTAGATCAGATGATATTAAGATAAACGTCTAGCATATTAAGTTAAATGTGGTATTGGGTAGAGAAATTTATCTGGATATACCCTTTATTTTTAGGTCACCTGAGTAAACTGCTATCCGTTTTCGTCTGTCGTCGTTCGTCGTGCGTTAACATTTGAACATTTTCAGCTTCTTCTCTGCAACCACTGAACCAATTTCAACCAAATTTGGCACAAAGCATCTATGGGTGAAGGGGAACAAAAATTGTGAATTTCATGATCCCTGCCCCCCTGGGGCCTGAGGGGTGGGGCCAAAACCACTAAAATTAATGCAATCTTTAAAAATCTTCTTCTTTACTCCTGGACATCAAGCAATCGAACTGTTTGCATGATTGTAATCAGCAATGAGTCCTCTACCAAAATTGTGAAATTCATGGCCCTGGGGTCAGGGGTTCTAGTGCTAGGGCGGGGCTAAATAAGTAGGTAGTGAAAATGCATTATTTCTTAGAAAATCTTCTTCTCTGCTCCTGGGTATTAAATACACCAAACAAAGTACATAGTTATGATGAGCAAGAGTGCCTCTACCAAAATTGTGAATTTTATGGCCCCAGGGTCAGGGATTCTGGTGTTAGGGCGGGGCTCTATTACTTATATAGTGAAAATACATTATTTCTTTGAAAATCTTCTTCTCTGCTCCTGGGTATTAAATAAACTAACTAAGCACATAGTTATGATGAGCAAGAGTGCCTCTACCAAAATTATGAATTTTATGGCCCCAGGGTCAGGGGTTCTTGTTTTAGGGTGGGGCTCTAGCTCTAATGATTATATAGTGAATTGCATGAATTCTTTGAACGTCTTATCCTTTGCTCCTGGTTAATATGCTAATGATCTAATTACATATTTAAGGCCAGGATTTATTTTATTTTCAGTTGTACAAAGCCTCCGCTCAAGGTTTTGAATTTTCAGAAAAAAATAAAACAATTTTTTTCTTTCCGATGTCAAATATGAGTCGGGATCGAGATTTCAAATTCACGAACTCGCACTTCCGGTTTTAAGATGAAACGGCGGGTAAATAAAGCTACATCTGAGAAGATAGATTGGTTTAGTGTAAAATTCATCGATACGAGTGCCATTCAAAACGTTTCACCCGTTCAAAGGACAAATAAAATGCTGACGACTTTGTTGCACAATGACATGCTGGTGAGATAATATGTATTCGTTTCAAAAGTTTCTGCAAATTCTGTCTGTAAATTATTTTCCTCCCCCGTGGTAGCTATTGCATATTGCCAGCGACATTGTTTAGGTCTCTGTTATAGCTTACAGTCTAAGCATCATTATTCAGATAAGGGTTGCTTATGCATCAGATGTAATGAATAAAACTTTGGGAGAAGTTAAGTCCATTTGAGGTCAGAAGAAATGAACAATAACCTGAAGAAATAAAAAAAAATTCAACTATTAAAAGGCAAGAATATACAAATATATACAGGCATGTAGTATCATTTGTATCAGCCAGAGAAATTATTTTACACTTAATTGAAAAAATGTTCACCGTACTCCCCAATACTCCCTGTCTGTTTTATGATAGGAATTATAATTTTAGGCATCAAGTAATTTTAGAACAATGTGTACACATTCACCTAACACATATTAAAAAAATGAAGATATATTGAAAGACTTCTAAAGAATTGATTTTTAAAAATATATTTTGATCAACATCACAAAATTTATATAACTGGCCCAAACTGGCAGATGATGAAATAAGCAATTAAATGTTCTACTTTCCTATTTGTAAGCATTATGTGTCCAGTGGTAAGGAGCCTATTAGAATAGCATAAAAAAAGAATGTACAATTGATTTATCAAATTTTTTTTTTAATTTCCTTTTCCTTCGGGACTTTTTTATTCTCATGTTCATAACTAAACCTAAACATAAAAAAAATGCTGGCCTTATAATGAAGAGAGGGGCCTCTTTCAAAATAGATAAATTCAGGGCCACTGGGTCAGGGGTACCATGGGGGTACTTTGACTAAAAATAAATTCATGCTTTGAAATCTGCCCTTTGATAAGCAATGGTGCCTCTTTCAAAATTTGTGAATTTCATGGCTTTTGGATTAAAACAGGAACCAAATACAATCGCTGGAAAGTTGTTACATGATACTCAGGTGACCTATAAGGCCCGTGGGCCTCTTGTTATAACTTAGTCAAGAACACACTCATATAGCAGTCTAAATGAAATTACCCGATACTATAATAGAAGTGCGTGTTGTTTCAGATAGTTGTTAGTGGGGATATGTTAGGATTCCCACTGAGAACGGCTGATAACAAGCAGCACCATCACTTGACGATTTGCAGAGCAATCTAACCAAGGTGTAAGCCAGGGTGATGTGTATTGATGCACTATCTGCTAATTAATAAAACACGTGGTTGTAAATGCCAGGCCAAAAAAAAAACAAAAAAACACAAAAAAAAACAAACAAACAAAAAAAACAAAACAACAACAACAACAACAACAACAACAACAACAACAACAACAACACACACTTCCCTAGTCTAAATGAAATTGCCCGATACTATAATAGAAGTGCGTGTTGTTTCAGATAGTTGTTAGTGGGGATATGTTAGTTACCTCATTATTGGAAGACATTAGACAGAATAGTGATCTTTGTTGAGCCCTAGAGCTAAAGTATTGAACAAAGAAGGCTGTTTTTGTGTTACACAATAAAGCTAGTAGGTACATTCATTAAAATTGATATGGTTATTAGAACATTGTAAATATTAAAATCTTTACAAATATTTCCGATCAGTTACCAAATAGTCCAAGTCAATACAATCATATCATTGTTAGATGAGTTAATTATTAGTACACATGTAACGTAAAGACATTATTTTATTTCCACTGAAATATCATGAAAAATTATTTACTGCTGAATTGTAACAATTTGTCCTAATTTCTAGGGCTGAAACGATTCACCGAAATATCGATATTGTTCAATACTTACCCTCGGTTCAATTTTCGAATCACTGCTTCGATTTTCGGTTCGATACGTTTTTTTTAAATCGGGTTTGGTTTATCGCATCGGGTTCGACGTACTTAATTAGTTTTAATACACGAGGTGAAAAACATGTCGACAGTTTCGACAGATACAGTTGAAGGAGGCGATGTATCTATTGCGACAGACACAAATAATAATCTTTCAATGAAACCCATCAAACTACAGAACCCTCCTGCGTCCTATCGGTCGGCAGTATGGAAGCATTTTGGATTTAAGATAATTACAGTGAACGAAAGGCAAGTTACGGAACGAGATAAAACTGTCTGCAAAATTTGTTTCAATGAAATTAGTTACAAGGCAGGAAACACAACCAATATGGCTGTACATTTAAAACGTAAACACTCAGTATTATTGAATGAGAACCCAATAAGCCCAGCAACAGCTAGTCTAAAAAAATCTCCGTCTACAATGTCTGTGAAAACAAGTAACAGCACACATAAAGGGCAATACACTCAATTGCAGCTTCACAACTTTTCTAGTCCAAAAACAAAGTTCCCGTCAACTTCACAGAGGAGTCGAAACATAACCGTGGCAATAGCTGGATTTCTAGCATGTAATATGCGCCCCTTTTCAACAATAGAAAACATTGGATTTAAGAATTTGGTTAGCATTTTAGAACCAAAATTTGAGATGCCTAGTAGAACACACATGGCACAAAAAGTGATGGTTAGCATTTTAGAACCAAAATTTGAGATGCCTAGTAGAACACACATGGCACAAAAAGTGATGCCAGAACTCTACATAAAAGTAAAAAAGAGATTTCTAACTGACAGTAATAAAGCAGATTTCATAACTGTGACAACTGATGGTTGGACATCTAGGGCTGCCCAGAGTTATATTACAATTACTGCCCACTACATTGATGACAGTTTTGAAATTCAGAACCATACTTTACAAACCAGGCAATTAAATTCCTCTCACACTGCTGAGAACTTAGCTGAAGTTTTGACAAATGCTGTTGAAGAGTGGGGTCTCAAGAAGTCTCAACCAATTGCCATTACTACAGATAATGCTAGTAACATTGTCTCTGGAATAAGCAGCATTTCATCAGAATTTTCCCCCCACATTAAATGTTTTGCACATACATTGAACCTTGCGACACAGAGGGCAATTAAATGTCAACAAGTTGGTAGAGTTGCAGGTAGAATTCGAAGGATAGTGTCTTTTTTTCACAGAAGTTCTACAGTTACAGCTATTATGGCATCAAAACAGGTTTTGCTTGAACTTCCAAAACACCAATTGATCCAAGATGTATCAACTCGTTGGAACAGTACGTACGATATGTTTAGTAGATATATTGAGCAGCAACCTGCAGTGTTTGCAACCCTTCTGTCTAAGGATGTCAAAAAGAATCTGAAAGATGTAGTCACATTGTCTGATGATCTCAAAGCAGTAGAAGAGTTCATCCATGAGTTTTGAAACCATTGAAAACGCTTACAACTCTGATGTGTGACAGTAAATATCCTACCATATCATTTATCCATCCAAGCCTGGAGATGCTGAAACAACAAATGGCTCCAAAGGATAGTGACAGCAGTCTGATACAGCTTGTGAAAAAAACCATCTTAAATGATCTAGCTACACGGTAAAAAACTAAAAATAATTAGTATTATACCACACAAATTTTTAATTTAAGTTTAATGAATCATGATGTCTAATATTTAGTACAGTTTTGTTATTTATAACGACACAGCAGTTTTAATTAGCCTTTTTGGTATTTATTAAATCATTTTACAATTTAAATCACAGGTACACTGATCCAGATATTCAGTCAGTCCTGCTGAATAGCTCTGCACTAGACTCCAGGTTCAAGACTCTACCATATCTGTCAAATGAAAAGCGTCAGGATGCATTTCAGGATTTAGAGAACAAGGCACTCTTCTTTGATGTGAACAAGGCAAGTATCATTTTTATCAAATTTATATTCTAGGTGAAATTCAAATCTTAATTCTTAATGAACATTACAATATGCACTTATCTTCAGGTGGCTGATTTGGCAGTAAAAGCTGAGAAGACTGAAGAGCAGGAGCTTCCAGAACTCCCAAGTCTTCCAAACGATATACCTCCTGATTCAGTGAATAGTGAGGTAGTTAAGGATGATGCACCCCCTGTTAAAAGAGAAAAACTTTCAATGGACGATTTATTTGGTGACGTTTTTATCACAGGTATAGAAAAACCACCAAGTGCACATGGTAGGATCCAGTCAGAGCTTTCTCTTTAAAAACTGAGGCACCAATACCTCTTCAAAGCAACCCTATAGAATGGTGGAAGTTCACCAAACCAATTACCTTGTTCTGTCTAGAATGGCTAAGTTTTACTTAGGAATACCTGCAACATCAGTACCCTCAGAAAGGGTATTTTCTGCGACAGGGGAAATATGTATGTGCCGTATGGACGTATGTGCCCAGAGAGCTTCACTCAGTGGTGATAATGTGGATATGTTGATTTTCTTCCTAGTGACTTGTGCTAAAGACATAATTTCACTTAAAAGAAAGTTTCCATTCAAATCACATAGTAGTAGACCAGCAGTTCGAATAAAAGTCATTCTGATTATTGATAAATGACTATTGAATAAAAGTTAGCTTTTATTGTTAAATTGATTATTCAATGTTCTTTTCATTGTATTCAATGATTTATCCTTGTTTAATGGCACAAATAGTGCATGTTGAATTATCTGTTTACATTTTTTGATGAAATTAAAATTACAAAGTGTGACGTACCTGAATTATATCTGTTCTTCACAAGTTTGATTTGTTTCTCTTTCATATTGTATCGTATTGAAAATATTGAATTGTGGCACATGTATTGCAATATGTATCGTATCGTGAGGGGGGCGTATCGTTTCAGCCCTACTAATTTCTCTACTCTCATTGAAGGTAAATTCACTCAGTCATGTGTGCCTTCTAACAAGGAGAAGTGTCATGCCCGAATTATTGGAATGAAATTAGAATTGCAGTTCTTTGAGAAACTCCTAAGTGGTGGAAAGTTCATGAAGGAAGAGAGAAACCTCGTTTTATACTGTGGAAAAGGTTTGAAATGAAATGTTAAATAGTAATTATAGTATTGTTCAAAACTTTTTCTTAATTATTTAAATGACTTAGAATAAGCAATGAAAGCTGCCCACAAACGAAAAATATCTGTTACTGCAGCTGAAAAGAAAAGAAATGTTTCTTCAAAGCAACCGGATTGTTGAAGATGAATTGCAATGAAATTTCAAGTCACGGTCTGGGGTCCGCATATATAGCTCTCTCCTACCCGTGGCTGCTTGGTCACAACAAGCTAATTCAGAGAATTCGTGTCCCCCGCTTAGGGAAAAAGTCGGATCCCCCTGACTGAATTTGTAGAATTATTAAATGTATACAAGTATAATGAAGCAAATAAAATACATGTATGTCAATATGCATATAAAGATTTGATTGCTTATTCTTTATTATGTGTATAGAAGATTCTTTTATATGGAATATTTATCACACTGTAATGAAGATTTTATGAGATTGGACTAGCCAGACTAGCCATACGTTATAATTTTTTCATTTCACATGCTGAATACTATCATTTAGTAAAAAAAGGAAAGTATCTTTAAAAAAAAAGGATCGACTGAGATCCGATCCAGAGGCTTCTCACATGTGAAGCGAGAGACATACCACTAGACCACGGAATCGCTTTAAATAATGGCAAGTACTTAGTATATGCAGAACTGAAGTCACATACATGTATATATTCATGTTCGGTATTCTAAAAATTTTACACAATCCATGGTGTTTGATTTATTTAGCCTTTTTTAAACAGTTCTAATAGATGTTATAAGAACATAACGTCTGCCGAGAACCTGTTTTACACGCAATAACTCTCCTCATGCCCCTGTGCTAAAAATACCGACATGTAATACTATAAATACTAATAAAACAAACGGGACGGAGCATTTTGAGATGAGAGGTCCTAGGGAGTTTTGGTATAAAATTACATTGGATAAGCTCAAAATCTTCTTGAAATATCGCCCGGAAATGATAGTGTTACACAGACAGAATGTATAAATTTACGACCTTGAACTTTGACCTTTTGTCCTCAAAATCAATAGGGTTCTTCTTTAGTCCATAGAGAGTTGATATGCTAAATTTCATTGCAAAAGCTCAAAGGGTTCTCGAGATATCGTGTGGAAACGAAAGCGTTACAGACAGACAGACAGACGGACGGACAAACCCAAATTAATATCCCCCACTTTTCAAGCGGGGGACAAAAAGTGTCGTTATCTTGAATATTTACGCCTCTCTATTGTGACGTCATATTAGTCATTGACAAGTTTTGTTTACACCGCAATTGATATCAACAATATTGACGCCACAGTATACAAGAAATTTTTCTTATACTGTGATTGGATATTGAAAGGTTGCATCAAAGTTCATTTTCCGACAATGCTTCACTCGCATTGGTCAAATATTTTAGTGATCTACGAAATATTCTCTATTCATTCAACCACGGCCAGAGTGGAAGAGGATCGTACATTATGGCCGTGGTTTGGAAGAGGATCGAACATTATGGTCGTCGTTTGCGACGATACCACCCCCCAGTAGAATGATTTTGCATTTGAAAGAATTCATTTCTAAACAAAAAATCTAAACACGTGGTAACCAAACATTATGTCAACACTTTCAAAATAATACTATCACACGCGTGGAACAATGATATAGAGTCGCGGAGTATGGAGCCGATCTCGCGGGATCAACTCCGCTACGAGACATGGAGACCGGTCGTTCGGATAAAACCATATAAACCGATGCGCCTTGTCGCACTGGGCACAAAATGACCCCTCACTGCTCCGTGGTTAGGAGTGACGAGTATAGGTATAAAGATTTGCCGCCCATTCACCGGCAAGTAGTGACATATCCAGTAAAAAAATACCAGGAGGGACATTAAACAACCAACCGAGGAATCTTAAGCTAGAATTCTTGGCCTTAGTGATGGTCAATGGTTGATAGTGGAGGGAATGATTGCAGTGTTTCAGTCATTTTAGATGGCAGCCAGGGTAAGTTTAGCAAAGAGTACCCAAGTCTAGAGCAGACACTCTAACTGATGTGCAACGCGTGCGACGACTAGGGACGAAGATTTAATCAGAAAATGTTGAGATCTTGCTGATAGAGACTGAAGTTCAATTTCATGTTGAATATGTCAAGAATGCACCAGATATTCTTGAAGTAGTACTACAAGTTACAAATTATGAGGAAGCGAGCTAGCCTTCAATTTTTAAGAAACATGGCAGCGAGGGGAAGTTGTACTGTGTTTCTGAGTCTGAAGAAAGTCACTAAAGCCAAGTTGGTGACGAAGAAACGTATCATAAATATCGAATACACCCAAGGAAGTGGCTACAAACAAAGGCCATGCAGAAACCAGAAGTCTCTGTCGAGACTGTAGCTCTACTGGTTTGTACGTATAACAAAGGAACAGAAAAGTAGCAGTTGGGACTTAAAACCATATGGAGAAATGATGTGCAGTTTACTCATGAGGTTGCTCCCATGTGATTTGCTTCTTATTAATATTCATAAGATCCTGCAATAACTCAAAATATACAATTTCTATATTTCTAGAAATTAAAACATGCAAGACTATTTTATCTTTATTTCTTTAAGCCCCCGTCCTAGTTGTATTGATAGAATTTAACGTGATTGTCAGTTGGCAATTAATGATACCGTTTGTTTTAATAAGTATGTCACACGGATGAAGAAAATTGCCGTTTTTAAATTTAAAAGGCAGTCGTAACTCTTCGTAAAATGTTTAAAGATTTATATTTTGTAAAAAAAAAAAAGAAGAAAAAAAACAAAAACAAAAACAAAAAAAAACAACATTCGTTTGCGCCTATTAATCGGCAGAAGAACTTTGTCATCTTGCAATAAACACTTACATTTCATCACCAAAAATGAGAAAATTAATTCGGTTCTCTTTTCTTCAATAAAACAATGTATTCTCGCATCGAATTTTCAAATTAAAAAGGCGGTCGCAACTTTCACTTTAGCATCAACAATATTGTTTTTTCCCATTAAAAGATATAAAGAAAAACCAAAAAATCGGCAGAAGAACTTTATCCGAAAAAGTAGTATATAAAAATTTGCAATTTTTTGTAAGTCCTCTATATAAATCTTTATGGAATCCGCCGCCATTATAGCTCTAAATATGACGAATATGTAAATGAGCAGAATGAACATTATTTCTCCATATGCTTTACAAAAGCAATAAGTAGAATAATGAGATCCTTGATTAAGTCTCTCTGTGGCAAGATTGCAATAAGACTACAACTGTATATATTTAATAGAATTTTCAATTTAAATCACTATGGCAACATCAATCATCAAAATCAATCAGAAGTCTCTGTCGAGACTGTAGCTCAACTGGTTTGTACTTACAATAAAGGAAGACAGAAGTAGCAG